GTAGAAATTATATCTATGCCTCAAAGTGCTATTGTGATAGCACCTTTGGTGCATACAAAATTCGGTGGAAGCTTTATACTGACTTCTTACGACTTAGCTCTATGGCACGATCTGGAAACAAAAGAAGGGTAACATTTCCTAAATGCCCCATAGCCTCTCAATTATAAATGTGGCACGCAACACACCCATAAGTGAGACTCCACTAGGCACGGCTTTGTAGACTCCCTAGGACTTGCTCTGATACCACTTTGTCATGGCCCAAACCTAGGGAGGTGTGGTTGGCACCCGGTGCCGTGCTGGCCCGAGCGAACCGCTTTGTAACTCATGATATTTATACCAAAAGTAGAACATACATAGGTCTAGTTGGTTGAACTCATTCCTTTTGTAACTTTCATGGGCCAACATATCCACAACCCATACTGTACAACTGTAAGTGGGAAAACACCGTATCAATAAACCATCGTTCTTAAAACAAGAATACATATGGGCAGTCAAGGCCTCTGACATACTGTACAAAATGAACCTTTATCTACAAAGCCTCTAAGACTATTCGACATCAAATGGGACAGGGTACCGGTCTAACCGTAAGTCTATAGCAAAACTGTAACATAATAACGTATAGACTCGACTGCACTCCGAATGAGGTGGAGTCTTTCGCTAAATGCCAACCTCGTCTATTATGAGGGCTCGTCAAACTGATTATCTATACCTGCAGGCATGAATCAGCGTCCCAAACAAAAGGACGTCAGTGCGAATAACGTACCGAGTATGTAAGGCGAAACTGAAACATAACAATAAATCAACATTAATTAAAGACATATAAGAATTAACCTAAATCTCTGAAGTGCCACTGTATATGCATACTTATTATACTTATATATATAATGCTTCTCTTTGAGACTATTGTCCATATCTTATGATGCGTGACTGTCTAACTGATCAGTGGTAACTGCCCGACCGGCCATAGCTCGGTGGTAAATGCATAACTACCCAAGCGGTGGTAAATAATGATATATAATTGCCCAATCGGTGGTAACTGCCCGACCGGCCGTAGCCCGGTGGTAAATGAAGATGCATGTCTGCCCAACCGGCCGTAGCACGGTGGTAAATGAAGATGCATGTCTGTCCAACCGGTCGTAGCACAATGGTAAATGAATATGCATGACTGCCCAACCGGCAATAGCACGGTAAATGCATGAAGATGCATGTATCACTATATTATGAACATTAACATCTTTATCGGATACCTCAATAGAGACTTAGGAACATACTCAGACATGCTTTGAATTACATTTCATATGAATGAAGAACATATACATCCTTAACTACTAAGAGTAGAACCACTTATAGAACAACATTATGTTTACGTATCGTTACTTGGATCATGCCAAGAGGAAGAAGGGATAGCCTTAACATACCTGGGCCGGTTCTCTTGAAAATCCCTCTAACATACGACAAAACATGTGATGGAAAGATCGAAGTAGGAAAAAATCCGTATGATATTCTTGAGAAAGATTGCACCGTACTCCCTTAGAATCGAAATCACGTTGCTAAGTATTCTTGTATGAATTTTGTAGCAAATCACCTTGCTATCATTTTGTATGAGTTGGCTGAAATTTTTCCATTATATTGTAGAGATAAGCATCTCCACTTTGTGAATTAGAGAGGCCTTTTTAATGTTTGGGTGTGGGCCCCACTTGGTATGATGACTTGGCCAAAGAATTCCCTAACCTTGCCACCTAACTCCAAGACTTGCGTAGTCAATATTGAACCCCTACATTGCTGCCACATTAATGCTTATTCACCCCAATAATTAAACACCAATTTCTTAATTAGCTTAATTACTTAGTTAATCTTTCACTAAAAATCAATAATTACCCAATTATCCACATAATTAAGACTTATCTCAAATTACTTAAAATACTACTCACTTGTAACATACTTTATACACCTTACTATCATGGTCATGTGGTAATTTGTACAACACTAATCCATAAATACGGGGTATTATAGCTTGAACCGTATTTTATCTCCAAATGTCAAACTTTGACCAACCTCATTTTCTTCAACTCGTTTACCCTCTCACCTTCACGACTTTACTTATCACTTGTTATAAATATCATAACAACTTATAACCTCAAAATAGTCTTGCCATTGAACTTATGTTAATTATCTTATGACAAATCCAATGTAGAAAAGTACGGGATATAACAACCATCTTCGGAGGGAATGAGATTAACGGGGTCACCTTTTCGGCAGCAAAGAAGACAAAAGTATCAATAACTCATAGTATAAGGTTCCGGGAAGATGATATAACTTTTATGGAGGAGGACGCCGACGGATTGTTGCTACCACACAATGATGCACTAGTAATTTCTTTAAATGTTTTAGATTTTAAGATTAAACGTGTTCTAGTGGATCCAGGAAGTTCGGATAATATCATACAATGGAGAGTGTTGGAGCAAGCTAAACTCACCGAAAATATGGCCACAAAGCTCTTCGCTGGATTCAACCTCGCGAGCGTGACGACCCGAGGAAAGATTTTATTGCTCACGAACGCTGAAGGAGTAATGAAAACAACTCTTTTCGAAGTGGTAGATATTGATATGGGATACAATATCATCCTAAGAAGGCCATGGTTACACGAGATGAAACATGTATCCTCAACATATCACCAATTGCTGAAGTTTGCAACACCCGAAGGAATCAAGCAGATAAAGGGTGATCAATCAGCGGCAAGGGAGATGAATGAAATTTTGGTCTCCAATAGCAAAGGAAAGAACACGCGGCATAGCAATTACATGAACCGCCACCTACTCCCGAACTAGAAGAAGTTAGCCCAAAAATAGAGGCGTCAGACTATTATCAGGTGCCGAGATATTTCCAAGTTCTAGAAGAGACGGATGCAACGAAATCCATAGCGGAAGAACTGGAGCAAGTTGAATTATTCAAAGAATTCCTAGAACGGAAATTCCACTTGGGGACAAGACTGCACCCGGAACTCAAGTCTGATTTTATTGAATTTCTTAAATCTAATGCCAATTGTTTTGCATGGTCGCATGAGGATATGACAAGCATCCCGACAGAGGTAGCTAGGGGTGGAAAAATGGTTAAAAGAAAATAGTTAACCACCCATATTATCCACTAGAAAATGGGTTGGATAATGAACTTTTCAAAAATGGGTCAAATATGGATAAGAACCATATTATCCATTTAGAAAATGGATAACCAATGAGTAACCAATGGATAACCAATGGGTCTAACTTTTACATTTGTAAAGCCTCAAATTGGAGGTTCCTCAAGTTAGGAAGACTAAGAATTCTCCCAAAAGTCATCATATGCAAGAAGTCATGGATAATATGGTTACCCATATTATCCTCCAGTTAATCCATTTTTTATCCGTATTAAATATGGATCGCGTCGGATAATTAATTCATTTTTTCATTACCCATTTTTACCTGAACCATATCCGACCCGACCCGCCCGTTTGCCACTCCTAGAGGTAGCCGTGCACAAATTAAGCTTGGATCCCAACATACCTTCGGTAAGACAAAAGAAATGCCCTATTGTCGAAGCCAGGAATAAATTCATCAAAGAAGAGGTAACCCGCTTGCTTAATATCGGTTCGATCCGAGAGGTAAGATATCTGGACTGGCTAGCTAATGTAGTAGTAGTTCCTAAGAAGAACAATAAATTTCGCATATGTGTAGATTATAAAGATCTAAATAAGGCGTGCCCGAAAGATTCATTCCCACTGCCAAATGTTGATCAAATGAATGATGTCACAACCAGGCACGAGTTAATGAGTTTCCTCGATACCTATTCCAGGTACAACCAAATCAAGATGAACCCGGAAGATCAGGAAAGAACTTTGTTTAAAACAAATTTCGGTACATATTGTTACAATGTGATGCCCTTCGGGTTGAAAAACGCCGGAGCCACTTATCAGCGGCTCGTGAACAAGATGTTTGAAAATTAAATAGGAAAAACTATGGAAGCTTATATAGACGATATGCTCGTTAAGTCTTTGAATGCAGTTGACCACCTTAAGCATCTGCACGAAATTTTTGGCATCCTGAGGAAGCATAAAATGAAACTTAATCCCGAGAAATGCGCATTCGGGGTTAGTTCTGGTAAGTTTCTGGGATTTCTAGCCTCACAAAGGGGATTGAGGTAAACCCCGATAAAATCATGGCCATAGAATACATCCCGAACCAACTGTCAAACGTAAAGGAAGTCTAAAGGCTCACGGGAAGGTTGGAAACTTTGAGCAGGTTCATTTCCCAGACGTCAGAAAAATGTCTCGCTTCTTCGCACTGCTTAAAAAGAAAAATAATTTTGAATAGACACCAGAGTGCCAGCAGGCTTTGAGGGATTTGAAGAAGTACTTATCAAGCCCTTCATTGCTCTCAAAACCAAAAGAAGGTGAAACATTGCTAGTTTACCTCGTAGCCTCGGAAGTTGCGGTAAGTGCGGTTTTAGTTCGAGAGGACGAAGGTACACAATCCTCCATTTATTATGTTAGCAAAAATTTAATGGGAGCAGAAACTCGCTACTCACATTTGATGAAACTGGCCTTAGCTCTCGTAGTTGCCGCTCGGAAGCTAAGGCCCTACTTCTAAGTGGGTGAACCCCCCTTGAGATATTTTCATACAGATGAATAATCGAACAACAAAGAAATGTTAGTCAATTTGGAGCCACTCGATGAACGTAGGGACTTGGCGTATGTAAGAATGGCAGCTCAAAACTAGAGAATGGAGCGGTATTACAATCGATGAGCCAACCTCCGTTATTTCAAAGTAGGAGATTTGGTCCTAAGGAAAGTAACTCCAAATACCCGGGAGCTCAACGTGGGGAAACTAGGTCCAACAATGGGAGGCCCTCACCGGGTTTCAGCTGTCACCGAAAAAGGTTCATACGAGTGGGAGAACCTGAATGGAGAAAAGCTGCCCAACAATTGGAACATGGCACATCTCAAAAGATATTCTTGCTGATGAACGTTATCCGATTAGAAAGTATGTGATGCGCTCTTTTTTCCTTCGTTTAGTTTTTTGTCCCAATTTGGTTTTTCTGGCAAGGTTTCTAACAAGGTAGCGATATAAAGCATACTACAAGACAAAAACAATAAGATCTTTAATAGCAATGCAAACAAGCAAGGATCCACTCGGGGGCGGTTAGATAATCTTTTGCTCTATAGAAAATTCCCACTGGGAAGTCAAGTTTAATATTGAGCAGAGGTTACCCGACCGTTCACGAGCACAAACCACTAGAGGGTTGTTAGAGTTTGTTGCTCAATAGCATGGATTTCTGAGGGGAAGTAAAATGTGTTATCGAGTTAAGGATTATCTAGCAATTCATTGGTGGAACCTTTGAAGATACAAGACTTCCAGTGTTCCAATTCGCACTCTTCGCATTCAAACACTGGGGGGATTGATATGAGGATACGGCAACGATGACTGCCACGTCGATCGGGAAATGAAAAACTGGAAACATAATTGTATCATTGGGATCGGGGACTGCGCGGCCAGCCCCGTAGAAATAAGTTTTACAAGATAGCTACAAGTAATGGCAATCTCTTTTCAGTATAGCGAATGCTTATGTACTTTTGAAAATAGAAGGAATTAAATGAAATTAAATTCTTTTGTTTTTATCTTGTTTCTTTTCTAAACGATGAACTAACTTTGTCATTTGAAAGTTAAACAAGTACTTCGAATTCTAGTGCCATAATGAACAAGAGACATCCTCTTCAAGAGCACCATAAACATAAGAGGGCCCTCTCTTGTGAAAGCCCTCACGTTAAAGGGTTGGTTTCGGAAGAATCTATGCCCGAAACAAAAATGCCTTCGAGGAAAAATACACTCGAAGACGTACACGGAAGGACGCAAAAAGTAAACAGCAAATACTTATAGAAACCCTCATGTAAAAGGGGTAATGCCCGGAATCAAAAATGCTTTCGGGGAAAATATATCCAACACTGCACATAATAAAACTCAAACAGAAAACGTGCGCAAAGCAAATGCAAAGGTTAAAGACTTGCATGGATATTCGAACGAAAGTAAGACTCAAACAATAATTGAGCAAACAGATGTCTTTATTTACAAAAACATGCCAAAATGGCACAGGTACAAGAATTGGAAAAAGAAAAGAAAAGATAAACTGCAGTATCTCCGGAACCAGGAGGAAGAGAAGTGTCCGCGCCCCCGGGAGAAGTAGATGGATCCACTGATGGCTCGACATTTTCACCAATTTGGCCTTCAGCGTCATCGTCCTCCGATTCTTCTTCATTTCCCGAGAACTCGGAATTGGAACCAGAAGGACTAGGAGCATCAGGCTGCACTAGGAGTCCATTTTTAGCAGCTAACTCAAGCTTACGGGCCTTAGCAATTTAGGCATCAAAATCAATGATACCAGCTTTGTCCTAAGTTTTCTCAACAACGAGGGAAGCTGCTCGGTGCTTAAGTTCTTCGTTAAGTTGAGCTATCTCAGCAGAAAGGCTTTCCCGGGTGGACCTAATAGATCTGAGGCTAACATTAAGGTCACGGACAGTTGAACTAAAAAGCCTATTATGCTCGATAGTTTTCCTGAACTTATCCTCCAACTGGGCAAGTTTAGCCTACCAGTAGCAAGCTCTTTAGTTTTGGAATTCAAGGCTGCCTCCAAATTATTCAATCTTTCAGTGGAGGCAACCTCATGATCGGATGCAGCAAGAACGACATTATGGACTTCTACCCATTTAGTTTTAGCTTCATCAAATTGAACCCTCAACGGGGCAATCTTTTGGCTAAGGGTTTCCACTTCTTGCTTGCTTTGCTGCAAATGAGCTTCCAATACAACACCCTCAGTGGCCTTAGCTTCCAGTTCCGAGAGGCGAGCAACACTTTGGTCCCCCTCTGCCAAAAGTTGATCCCGCTTGGAGGTAAGTTCCTCCGTATCACGAATCAGCCTTTGAAGGCCCTCGGAAGCAAGAAAGTTGGCCTGCAAAGCAAGAAAGGTGAAACTCAGAATACGTTCATACAAAAATAGAAGAAATAATAAAAGAAGAAAGGAGCGTACCACTGCGGCATTGTGCATGGCATTGTTCAACAAAGACTCTCCCAAGAGTGCTTAAATCTTTTCCCAAACTTTCTCTGAAGCCAAAGGCTTCAGATAATTAGCAAGCTCCATCGGCCGGGATATCGAGTTGCATCCAGTAGAGACCGAAAGGGTAACATTCTTCCTCTTTTGTGGATCTTCATAAGCGGCAGCATAATTTTGCCCCAAGATCCCATGAATTGGGAACTGGGGAAGAGGAACATCTTCTTCATGGTCGGATGCGGCCGGTGGAGATGATGTAGCACTTGCTGGTGGAAGAGTGGATGAAGATGGAAATGATGTAGCAATTGTTGGTGTTGATGAAGATGGAAATGAAGCTGATGGAGTTAAAGAATAAGAAGCAGCTGCATCAAATGCAGTGCTGGTTGTTGGATGCTCGCCAACCAAAAACGGCAGAGACTCAGTACTCAGCCCTGCAGTACTAGGCATAACAATTGGGGCACGAAAATGGGAGTTAGCATTTTCCACTAAATCAAACTCCCCCGCCCCCCCACCCAAAGTGTCGAGGTGTCGTCCTCGATTAGTGTAACTAACTCAACAGATTGAGTATTCTGTTGAGTTGATGATGAACTTCGCCTTCTGTGTAGAGAAGCACCATCATCACTAGCTTCTCCATCATTGTCGATCATCATGATGTCTATGATCGGCCCGGGAGGAGGGATAGTGATCAAAACTTTCAAAGATGACTCGGGGGCAATAATCTTCGCCCTCTTATTCTTTTTCTCGGCCATGAAAGAACGCCTTCTTTTTGGTTGCTTGTTCTCCGGTCGGGGACTCCGTGATAAAACACCTGTGCCCGAAGAGGTTTGTAGATACTTGTTCGAGTAAGCGCTTCCTGAAGCAGCCTCGCCACATCAGCAGCATCAGCCAAGACGTCCTCCTCGGGGACAGCAACAGAACCCGTAGGTAGACCTGATTTCAAGAAAAAGATAGAAGGGATTAATCAATTTCCTCACATAACAAGTTGAAACAAGGTTAGTTTGAATTATTATGATTTTTGGCCTTCCACCCGTACTGGATGAGCACGGGTCTCGGGTATAGTAACGTCCAAGATCTTTTGGACCCATTGGCCCAAGCCTTCAACCATAGGCGGAACCCATCGAGTTTTTGCAACATGCAAAGGAAGGATCAATAAGGCTATAGAAAAATATTTAGTAAAAGGAAATATTAAACAAAGATCTTACGAGTGCGGTTCCAAGCGGCCAAAAAGGATGAAGGCGTTATTGGAATAATATCACTGGGGGCAACTGCAATGAACCGTTCCATCTATCTACGGTTGTTATCGTCATCCATGCTAGATAACAGAGCATGGTGGTCACGCTTGTAGAGGTTTACCATTCTCCCGCTGAAGACCTTAGGAGAGTAGAGATTTATCATATGAGCTAAGGTTAGCTCTTCTCCGGTCTCCTGGAACAAACGTCAAAGAGAAGGACTTATTTGTGCCAAGCATATTTGGTAGCGGAGGCAAAACTCCGCAATCACGGAATCAAGCTCTCCACTCAAATAAAACTCACCCAAAGTAAATGGATACGTGTAAAAATATGTAAAATCTTCCTTGGGAAGTGTCACTCGCTCCGATAGATCAGGAGCAATAATATCTAACTCATAGCAACGGTCGTCTTCCTTCACAACAGGAATGCTGGAAGGACGGATAGAAGAAGGGTACCTACTGACGGTCCATGTACGAGGATTAGCAGTAGGGAATTTCTCTTCGAAGTCTTTAGTGGTAATAAGACTTCTAGGGATGATGGAGCCCACCGTTGCAGGAATAGAGTCCTCGGCCTTGTTCTTGTTCTTTAAAGAACTGGTGCATTTTAAGGAAGAAGCCATTGTATGGAAGAATGAGAAGGTTTTTTCTTTTAAAGAGAGTTAGAGAAAAGATGGAGAACAAAGGTGCAAATCAGAAGATTGGACAATTATGAAGTGCAAGAGAGAAGGTTGATGCGTAGAAGTAAAAATTTTGATGGTTAAATTCATGGCCATGATTACCTCAATAATCGGTAAAAGTTGTGCTGGATTATGGGATGACGCGTGTTCGGAGCACTAAATACGGAAAGACGTACGTCTAATCAACCGTCGGAAGCCTTTAGAGGGAATTATAGTAATTTCTGCCAAAAGAGTGTTTCTACCAACTTTCCGGTAACACAAAGTTATGTCACGGGAAAGCATGGGGACTATCTGTATAGGGTAAAATATACTATGACACGTGGCCGTCCAAAAATAAGGACACGTGGAACCCAAGACGGGGATGGCAAGAGACCAAACGCAGTTGTTCCACTTGTCACCGGAAGAATAACGTTATTAAAGGTGTGAAAAATGCTCTGCGCCCGGTAGCATTTAATAAAGAATATTCCGTGCCATTAAGAGCAATGGTCTGTTATAGGGAATTTAGCATTTATGTTCACTGTTACACCTTCAACACTGACCCTCATAATTGACATTAAAGAAGGGCATGATCCTAGGACCTCGTTCCCTAGACATAGGTATAAATAGTGAGCTCAGTTATCATTGTAAAGGACACGAATTTTTTGGCAAACGTACACTACATTTTATACAAAGCTTAATACAATCTTACTTTCTCGCTTTTGGATTTCACTATTATTGTGCCCGGAAACCTTGTTCCACTGTCACTTCTGCCATTTCGTCTACATTTTAAGGCTAAGCATTGCATAATTCTTCGATTATTCTATTATTTCAGGATCAAATTAGTTCACTTGTCTAGAAACCATATATACCGTACTATTTTACGGGTAAACAACTATATAAATAGAAACTTAAGACAAGATGAAAATGCATATTCATGCTTTCAATGCTTAGAAGTAGGTAATATAGCTAATCACCAAAGCAAATTAAGTTATATAGTAATAAAATTCGTGAGGCTACATATTCAATGCATACTTAGGGAGAAGATGAGAATGACGTCTTCACTGAGAATATGAAATAAGTTTTCCTGCAATGTGTTTTATGCGCACTCACTCAAATTATAATAATTTAAACAGTATAGGGTGTTTTTAATGTTGTTTCTTGAATAAGAAGTGGTTAAAAAGCTTTAATTCACATATTTTTGCATCAATTTATATCCAAAGGAGTCCCAACTTAGTTCTATCAACTTGATAAATTCCCTTAATAAAGTAAACAACAGCAACGAAGACAATTATAAAAAACATAAGCAAAAATACACATCCCAAATCATCCCGTATAGTTTCAAGATAACAATTCACATTAAAAGAATATACTCCTAACCCTCCATGTCTACACTAGGCTGAAAAACAAAAGCTATCTCCACCATTCTCTTAGGTATCCAAAATAGTGCGTACTTCGCTACTGTCCCAACCGCCCTATCTGTTAGATTAAGAATCGCGGGGCGTGAACAATATTAGCGTACCTGTCAACGCAGCGGAAGAATTGTTGAACTCACCACCGAAACAATTGCCCCAAACCGAACTTTGAATCACTAGGTAACAAAGTTAATCTTCCACCAATTAGATGCCCTTACTTGTGTGTATCTTTCGTTGGGAGAAGAAGAGATTCAGAGAAAAAATTCTTACTGAGTTCTATATTTTCTCTTTCACATAAATAGGCGGAGTAGCGGTAAAGGAAGATAACCCACCACTCGCCCCTTTTTGCACGTTCAGTTTAGTGGGTGTTTGTGGTCTAGTGGTAACTTCCCTTAACCTCTCTCCCTTATCTCTCCTAACCGGGTCGAGTCAGCCCACATGGAGCGAACCATGACCCATAATCCAACATCTCCCACTTCGCTCATAGTGGGCTAGACCGATGTCTTTGACACACTTTTCATACTGGCAAATAGTTGGTGCGACCTGCGAGCACAAAGAGTTGTAAAATTCCAAAACCAATTAAAGGTTGTACTAAAGCTCTATATAGAAATCCAATCACATATGGAAAGGATTCACTACTGGCATGAGGATATTATTACTCGCAATAGCCCAGACATCATTCGCTATTGCAGTAGCTACTTATTCGATCCCTCATCCTCGAAAGAGGGCAACTCGAGTTCTCATATAACATTGTATCCACAATTACACCCAATACCCTCATGGTAAGTGTAATGGTCGACCTATGAATACAAGTTAAATTACTAATTTTTAGTCGTCTTCCCTTTCTACTCGAATCTTTTCATTCCAAATCAACTGCTTTCCTAGACATGCACTTCATTGTCGAATCAATCATGGCTATTAGTGGCATGCTAAAGTAGCAACACTGATTGGCACTTCAAGAGACAGTAAAAGGTCAAAGAGTATTTCAATAAAAGTTACTCTAACTTCTTTGGGATCTCACACAATGAAGAAGCAGGGATTCATTCTTCCATTATCCCATGGTCGATAGCGTGGTATGAAACACATGTCACGGTGTTCTCACCTTATATTGGTGCGTGTGTCTTATTATTTTAATCATCCAACACCGTACAGATCTTGGTCTAGGCACCTTCAAGTGACTAACCCGAGTTTCTCACTTCAATAATCCTCAAACCATCTTCTTAGAGAAACTCGTATCTGGCTTACAAAATAAGTCATAATCGAATAGTGAAATTCGTAAGCTATCAAGAACGACCTCTACAAGTAAATATAATCCCGCATTATCCAAGGTTCTATAAGGTCTCATCTCTGCACGATTCTTAATGCAAGAGGCGATTGCTCGTGTGAGAGAGCCAACCTCGCGACTTGTTCGACACACTTTATCAACAAAATATTCATCACATGCATACGAGATATAGCAAAATTCAAGAGTCAAATATTGATGAGCATATTATAATACTAAAGTTATTTTACAATACATAAATATGTTCATATCCTTCTCAAACCTAGAGCCATAACATGTTTCTCAAACAGGTCTCTAGATATCGCCTTTGTAAAAGGATCAGCTATCATGCTTTGCGTAGGAATGTACTGTAAATTTATCTCTTCACTTTCTACCACGTCTCTTACACAGTTATACTTGATGTCAATGTGTTTGGTCTTGCTGTGATACTTAGGATCTTTTTTATATGCAATAGTCGCTTGACTATCACAATATAGAGTCATGGGACCCTGAGAGTTCTTTGTAATATTCAAATGCTCAAAGAATCTCTTCAACCAAACAACTTCTTGTACTGCAGACGCACAAGCCACGAACTCAGCTTCCATTGTTGAAAGGGCTGTGCAGGTTTGTTTCTTACTTTTCCATGATATAGCACCACCATTAAGTAAGAAGGCATAACTGGATGTTGATTTTCTATCATTCCGGTCACCAGCCCAATCAACATCTATATATCCTCTCAAGTATAAATCATTTCCATTATAACACAGTGAATAATCTGCAGTTCCCTTCAGGTATCTGAAAATTCTCTTCACAGCTAATGATCTCTTTCAGGATTGGATTGATACCTGCTAACCAGACCTACGACATAACAAATGTCTGGGCGAGTACAC